GTATACCATTTTGAAATTTTTTCAATATTTATTCCGTAATTAATTAAAATGTATAAACAAATGAGTTCACGAGAAGCGGCTCACACAGCAGAGATGTCCAAAATATATCACAGGGATATCCTAAAGTTATATTTGGGATATGTGATATCTTCAAGATACCCCTATGATGTGGGACATTCCTGCTATATGAAGGTAGGACAGGCTCTATGTGTAAAAGAAATGGCTTACCTCTTAGCAACGATGAGTAAACAGCTGATTTCGAGACGGAGTAACAAGCGACACGTATACGTTACTCCGCCTCGAAATCAGCTGTTTATTTATCGTTGCTAAGAGGTAAGCCATTTCTTTTACACACATAGCTTGTCTTACCACTTCTCGTGAACTCATTCGTTTTATTCATTTTAATTAATTACAGAATAAATATTGAGAAAATTTCAAAATGGTATATAACTTTTATGATTATTTTGACCCGTTCTACCCGTACACAGCGGTTGCTCGATCAGTTACTGGACACCCTGTATACTGACCTGGTTTACATCGTGCACTTGATACGCGTACTAAATAGTAATTTTCTATTAGATAATCTTAATATCGATGATATATATAAACAACGGTATATTAAGCTAGTATAATACTCATTAACAAGACGTATTGAATGCGTCGCCGTTGATATGCATTGTCGATATTAAGATTATCTAATAGAAAGTTACTATTTAGTACGCGTATCAAGTGCACGATGTAAACCAGGTCAGTATACAGGGTGTCCAGTAACTGATCGAGCAACCGCTGTGTACGGGTAGAACGGGTCAAAATAATCATAAAAGTTATATACCATTTTGAAATTTTCTCAATATTTATTCTGTAATTAATTAAAATGAATAAAACGAATGAGTTCACGAGAAGTGGTAAGACAAGCTATGTGTGTAAAAGAAATGGCTTACCTCTTAGCAACGATAAATAAACAGCTGATTTCGAGGCGGAGTAACGTATACGTGTCGCTTGTTACTCCGTCTCGAAATCAGCTGTTTACTCATCGTTGCTAAGAGGTAAGCCATTTCTTTTACACATAGAGCCTGTCCTACCTTCATATAGCAGGAATGTCCCACATCATAGGGGTATCTTGAAGATATCACATATCCCAAATATAACTTTAGGATATCCCTGTGATATATTTTGGACATCTCTGCTGTGTGAGCCGCTTCTCGTGAACTCATTTGTTTATACATTTTAATTAATTACGGAATAAATATTGAAAAAATTTCAAAATGGTATACAGGGTATACAGGGCGGCAAAAGTATCGGACCGGTAAAATATCTCGAACAATATAAGTTTTACAGAAAATTGCTTTAGATAAAAGCTATAAGTCTTAAGAAAATCTATTTACTGATTTTAACAGTTTGACCTTGGATGACATTTCGAGGTCAGGTCGAGGTCAATATTGCTTTTTTAAATAGAAACATATTTTTTATTACGGAATTTTATTCTACGTGAAGAAACACATAATTTTTGTTTGAAAACATTTTTTATATAACCTCTATTTTCTAAGATATTTGCGGAAATATTTACAAAATTATTGGTTTCAATAATTTTTTATTCAAATTCTATCAACTTTACCAAAAAATAGCAAGAGATAAAAATTTTCTACTTTCATTTCATAGAGCTCCGAAAATTTTTTCAGAATTTTTTAATTAACTTTTTAGTACTGCATTTTCTTGCATTTTCTTGAAGTACTAAAAAGTTAATTAAAAAATTCTGAAAAAATTCTCAGAGCTCTATGAGAAAAAATAAACAATTTTTATCTTTTGTTATTTTTCGGTAAAATTGATAAAATTCGAGTAAAAAATTATTGAAACCAATAATTTTGTAGATATTTCCGTAAATATCTTAGAAAATAGAGGTTATATAAAAAATGTTTTCAAACAAAACTTGTTTGTTTCTTTACGTAGAATAAAATTCCGTAGTAAAAAGTATATGTTTCTATTTAAAAAAGCAATGTTGATCTCGACCTGACCTCGAAATGTCACCCAAGGTCAAACTGTTAATATCAGTAAATAGATTTTCCTAAGACTTATAGCTTTTATCTAAAGCAATTTTCTGTAAAACTTATATTTTTCGAGATATTTTACCGGTCCGATACTTTTGCCGCACCCTATATAACTTTTATGATTATTTTGACCTGTTCTACCTGTACACGGCGGTTGCTCAATCAGTTACCGGACACGTATATTTCAGTGATAGATATAAACTCCGGCACAAACATGGCCGTGACGATGTAATCCTTTTGCCCCTTGGGCTTCATAGCCTTTCGTCTATAATCGCACTTTTCGCTCCGTCCATGTATTCTTACGTCCATGAAAATTTATAACATAAACTATAGATTACTGGCAATAAATATAGGAATGTAGCTTAAAAAATGTTTCGATCATAATTCAATAATTTTCTCGTAATTCTGATGTTATTGTGATTTTCTATTATATATATATCTGGATTTTGTTCTTCGCGCGAAATATCGCAACCCCCGCGTATGTATATTCGACTTTGGCCTGTATTCATAGGCAGTATTCATAGTCGAATCTTATTTCAAGAGCGTCTTAAATAATGTCTTAAGATGCGAATATGGCTCTGTGATTGGTTCATGACATCTTAAGACAGTACTTAAAATGGGCTGCGTTCGGAAACTCTTCCTCTCTTTTTATCTCACTCTTGTATTTCACTCACTCCAACGGCTATCATCTAGTAGAG